GCAGCTCTAACTCTTTTTGGCCTATCTCCTTTCATTGTTTCGCTAATTAAATTTTTTTGTCTTCTTTACTCTGCTGAGGTGTATGTACACCCCACAACATGCAAATACTTTGGTTTGCTGCTTGCAGCAGTTGTTCTGCTGCTGCTGCTGCTGCTGCTGCTGCTTCTGCTTCTGCTTCTGCTGCTGCATGCTGTCTCCCCTAGAAAATAATAATAATAATTATTGTCTCTTAGAGGCATTATTATTATTATTAATATTATTATATATAAAATAATAAGAGATAATAAAGCAGTTGAAGTAATAAACAAAAGTTTTTTGTTTATTTAAACGACAAGAGAGACACCCGCCGACTTATGCGGCTAAACCTGATTAGTTTTTATCTTTTTAATTTACATTATATTGCATGCATGCATATATAATAGTGCGGTGTTAGAAAGAAAAACACAAAAAAATGTTGCTGCTGCTTCTGATGCTTCTGTTGCTCCTGCGCTGCGGTGTGGATTCGCAGCAGCAGCAGCCGGTGTGCTGCTGCTGCTTTTGCTGCAGTCGTTGCTGCTGCTGTTGCCGTTATTGCTGCTGCTGTTGTTGCTATTGCTGCTGCTGTTGTTGCCGTTGCTGCTGCTGTTAGTGGTGTCAATGCTCCTGCAGGCAGCTGTTGCTCGTGTTATTGCTGCAGCAGCAGCAGCAGCAGCAGCTGCTGCTGCAATTGCTGCTGCAATTGCGGCTGCAGCAGCAGCAATTGTTTGTGTTTATTGCTGTTCTGTACCTCTGAATTGGTGAATATATCTCCCCCCTTCACAGCTGATGCATGCATATTGAATAGCTTTGCCTTGTCTGGGTGTGATAGTTATTCTTACATTACGTTGTGAAGACTGAAACACATGCTGTTGAATAGGAGCTTCAGCCCAAGGGCCTAGACCCTTTGGCTGTGTTGTAACATATACTGCTTCTCCTGGAGAGATATATTGACGAAGAAAGCGAGAGCGTAATGAAGACGCCTCAGGAGCTGCAGATACACCCGAATTAAAACCTTGCATATGCTTTCCTTCTTCAGATAATTGAAGAGATAGATCAACTGGGGCTTCTTCGTGATCTCCTACCATTTCTGTTGTCTTTTCTTCAGCCATTTTAATTAATTTAATCTAATAAAAGAGTTTAAAAAAAGAAAAAGCTAAGAAAATCGAACAGAAACCGCGTGGCTAGCAAGGAGGATAACACAGTAGAAGTAAGAAGGAGGAAATAACAAGAAAAGCACCGTTAAAGAAGTCAAATAAATATTAAAATGAGTTTAATAATGTTTATTATACCTTTTTAAACAATTATTTTGATATTTTTACCTTTACTTTTATCAAAATTGAAGTACCTCCTCAGCAGACTTTACTCTGCTTCTCAACCCCTCCCCCTTGAGGTGTTGCTGGGGTTAGCTGCGCAGAGTTTCTGCAGCATTTAGCAATGTAAATTAATAAAAATAAATAAAAAGATTAAATAAAATTATATAATTAATTTAATTTAATTTAATTTAATGTTTTATGTTTATATTTTTTAAAAATATTAACAACAACCCTAGATATACTTAGGGTTTGTTTCTTTCTGGTTTTTGTTTGTTCGTTTTATGTTAGTTTGCTGCTTTTATTATTATATTATATTTTAATTTAATATTATTTATTTATTTATTTTCTGTTTTAAAGAAAGTTTATCAATCTATAAAAAGAATTTTATTATATAATTCGTCTATCTATTATTCATTTAACTTTGACTGTCTTTATTTATTTGCATTGACGATAGACACCCGAGAAATATTTATATTTTCTTTGTTTTTTTTTATTTCTTTTTTATTTATTTAATATGTTTTGGGGCATTATAACTTTAAAAACAATTAAATAAATTATTAATTTAGAAATGTTTTTCAGCGTAATATACACTCTGCGGTGTATGTTCAAGTCGAATGCTTTTTAATATTGTTTCAACAAATTAACAATTATAATAATGAGACGACGCACAATAAATAAACAAATAAATTAATAAATAAATATATTTTCATAATTGTATCTATTTATTTAATTGTTTTCTACCTCCTCTCTTGAGGTGTACACACAGCTTGTCAACAAAAAGTATTTTCTTTGTTTATACACTGTACATTTGTATTAATATAAATTGACAAACCCCAAAGAAAACCCTAAACCCTAAACACCCTAAAAACCCTAAACCCTAATCCTCACCCATCTAAACCCTAAACCCTAAAGGCTTCGTTCTAAACCCTAAACCCTAAACTGATTGATTATTACTAATAATTACTTTTACTGTTACGACTGCTTAATATTATTATTATTATTATCATTACCTTTTACTATTATTATTATTATTATTGCTATTATTATCTGTATTCATACTGTACTCCTAGTAATTGTTTCAGTATTAGCACTAAATATTAATATTATATTAACATAATATTAATGCAATATCAGTATATTAATATACGTATCAATATAATATTAATATAATATTAATATAATATTAATATTAGTACTAATATTCTTGTTGCTATTATTATAATTATTCTTACTACAATTAATAATAATAATTACTAAAGAAAACTCTATTTGTATAGAACAAAGATATATATATA